TGTTAAGTAGGTCAGTTTTACTGCTGTTAATTACAGGTGAAAAGTTGAAAGACTGTGGCTTGTATTGGACCACGTACTGAATCTAAAGCAGTTTTTAATAAAAAGCTTTCCAACTCAGATCACATTTATAGCCTGTCTACGTAGGACAAGAGCATCTTAAATGAATATTTTCATCATAGTTTATATAAGTAACATAGGAGGCAATGCCCATGATAACAGTATCTGAAAATTTTGCTGCCTAAGCATGGAAGTAACCATACCCTTAAAAATCCAGTCCATATTAGATCAGATTTCTCTAACTTAGTATTCTTCAATATATTGTAGTATGCCCATCTTCTTCAGCCAGCCCCGCAGGAGCAGGTTTCTGGTGCCAGGATGAAGAATAACTGCATCATCTGATAAGATACTTCTTTAAGAAAACAAACTCCAAATGTATGATAGGTTTTTTAAAAAAATTTTAGCTGAGATTTTTATCTCAGAAATAGCTATGAAGTCTACTATATTAACTCTGCACGGATTCAGAAAGGGGAACTCATAACTCAGATCACCTGTAAAATACCCACTTGAAATGAGTGGGTGTTAACTTAACCTAACTTAAAAGGTATGCCAGCAACAGACTTTGGCAAAACAAATAGTTATGTTTCAGTGTTTGTCAAAAGTAAGTCAACAGAAATTCTTACTCAGTTACCTTCCAATTAGAGCCACTGGAGCAATAAAATCCTCCTGTTTATTTCTCCTGTAATCCAGGAATGGCTGGGTAGAGTTCACCACCCAAGAGAGAAAGGAACGTGCCAGTGAGACATGAACAGTGAACACTGGGTGTCCACCATTACTCATCAGTGTCCTGCAGTGATATAGTATAATTGTTAGGCCCTTAGAATAATTAGAGTTGATTGAGTTGCTTACTGAAATCTGGCTGGCTATTAGCATTTCCTTTCATACTCAAAATGTGCACCATCCCATTATTCCTCATATCTGCCCACTATTTTGTTTCCATTTAGGCGTGGGTATCTAAGGCTGAGAGTTAATGGATATTCCATGAGACTTTTTGCAAAGAAGAACCAGGGAGCCAAAATTCCAGCTCAGGGTTCCATATCATTACATTTCTTCTGGTCTTCCATTTTCTTTTAATTGCTAGAAAAAATATATCTATATATACAGAAATAAGTTGAGGTGGTACTTACTAGCTGGGTTCATACAACTGAGAGGGATGGAATGATGTTGTGAGAACACTTTAACCTAGTGAAAAACCCTTAGAAACTAACTCCCACTACTACCCTGTGATAACACAGTTTATCTAGTCTCTCTCTTTCAACTTTTCACCCCTTTGTGCCATAGAAAGGAATGAAAGTGGATTGGAAAAGGTACAGGAAGGGTTGGTGGATATGTATGTCTCCAACTCTGTTTGCAGCTGTGATGCCCTTGAGCAATTTACAACAGAGTTCTTTTCCTTTCTTTTTTCTTTTCTTTTCTGTCACAGAATGAGGAAGGCAGGACATTAGATAATTCCAGGCAATTCCAGTGTGTTTTTGAATTAGCTTGTAGAAACAAAGGAATAGTATGCCCCTTTAAACAACCCATAGGTACCATCAGTAACATAAATATTTTCATAAGCTGCTGTTGAAATAGGAAGAAAAAGCAATTCTCCATATTGATAGCCTCTTCTTTATTTATAGGTTCTGGAGTTCTATCCCCAGATTGTTCCCCAGAATTGCCATCCTATGGCAGCTTGGATGAAAACATCCTGGCAAGGCAAAGCAGGAGGATGAAACCTAGGCCAGCCAAAGAGCCAACGACAACCAATAATCTGAGGAAAAGAAGGTCCTTCCTCCAGACAAATTATACTTCCCAAGTTAGTTTCCCCAAAGCTTCATACCATGCCCTGAAAAACACTGAATATTGCAATACAGATTCTACCATCTCAGGAGCTTCATACTCCCCAGCCGTGACTTTACTGAAGGAACCTCAGCAAGCTTCCAATCTTCTTGAAGCCACAGAGCAAATTCAGATGGCCCAAAATTCAACCTCTTCATCTGACTCAACAGAAATGGGGCAGAATTCATCAGTACCCAATTCAGTTTTGTGCCTGGCCTCTGCCCAGGCAGATGGAGGAAGTTTAGACTCAACCCGTCACTCTTTAAATTCTTTTAATATGCCCACCTACCAGAGTCGCTGTTTAAGTACACCAGGAATTACCTTTCACCTGGAAGATCTCAATCCCACTTGCAAAGAAAAACCAGAAAAGCTTACAGAAATACCTAATGGGATTCAGGGACATTGTGAAATAAAGGCAGAGTGTTCTGTAAACCAAGCACTTGATAAAAAAGTGAATACAAGCAAAGCTGTGTCTCCAACAGGAGTCAGTTATGTATTGATCGAGGAAATAATACACACTACTACCAAACCTTCAGGGTCTCAGAGCAGCATCCAAGACAAACCTTTGTCTTATGCCTCACACTTAGACCAGGATCCTTTCCCTGCAGAGAAAGTTGAGAAACAGGAACATGTTATGTTAGATCCCTGCAAAAGAGTCAAAAGTGACCCCATCTTGTATGAATCCAGCCAGGCCCTTGGAGACTTAAAGCTTGAAGAAGGTATCAGCCAGTTGTCAAGTAAGGGTGCTACACAGAAATTGGGAGATGAAAAATATCTGGGGTATTCAAATGTAACTGAACCGTTTTTCAACTGCAGTGATAAATCAGGATCAGAAACATGTTGCTGGCCTGATTCTAGTTCAGCAGTAAAAAATGCAGAAATCTGCCAGCAAGCAGATAATGAGTGCCAGGGAATTACTGGCCAAAATGTCCTGAGCATTAATCATTTATCTTTAAAAGATGGTGTTCTAAATCGAGTCCCGGCCTGCTTATCAGCCATGAGTATGTCTCAAAATCTGTGCCAATCTACAGACGTTGCTGGAGACTATAAAACAGAGGGGAAAAACCTCACAGGAGATGCTCTCATTATGGATTATAAAAAAAAGAGACCCAGTTCACTAATGGCTTCCTCAGGGGAGTATATAGAACAGAGCAAAACTGATAATTTACCTGGACAGGGCTACTGTTCATCTGACATGTTGTCTAAGGCTGCAAGGTCCAGTGAGAAAAAGTGTACTTTAGATCTACCCTTTCTGCCTTCTGACAATGCAACCAGAGATGCAATGGCATTTAATGACACAGGTCCACCAGGTGTAGTGAATTCCGAGGAGACATTTACACCCGAACCAAAACTGGAGAGATGCAGCTGCCAGTTGTCTTATGCAAGCTGTTTCCATGGGGTAGAAAATGAGGCAGAATTAGACTGCACCAAATCCTTGGCAAGTAGCATGTCTGAGGGACCCTTAACAACTCCACCTTCAACAAGAAACCCACTGCCTTCAGATTTTAATCCCACCAGACACCTTCAAGAACCTAATTATAGGGATGGGATCCCCAGAGATTCCCAACATCACAAATGTCTCCCAGAATTGCCTATCAAAGAACTCAGCTATATGAAAGAGAAATGGTCTGTCTTGCCATTTGACTTCTGCCATTTGTTAGGGAATGTGGTAGAGCTACAGGAAATGTTAAGGTGGTTTTCAGGAAACCAAAAAAAACATCCAGAGGATAAATGTTCTGCCCTTTTTTCAGAAAACAAGAATGCCTTGTATATGGAATCCCAGAGACTACTATCCAATTGCCAGAAGATTATCAAAGCACACGGGCCTTCCTCAGAGACGCAAATCATTATTCAGGAGACCTTCCAAAACCTTCTTCAGTTGACAGAGGTATGCTTAGAGTTTACAAACTGTGGCCTTTGCAGTAGTGGGCACGTAGATCTTAAAGCCAACCTGAGGGATGTTTTATGTAACTATCAACGGTTTTTGGAGGCATGTAGGCAAACTCATGAGAAGGACTACTCAAGCCTAAGCTTAAAACTACGTGTGTGTGAGTATACGGCCCTTGCTGCTTCCCTTTTTTGCCTTGTACACCAGTTCAGAGCTTCATCCTCCACCTGAGATGGCTATGCTGTCTCTTCCTGCTGCTCCATTCTTTGCACTAGCAGAACAAGTGCTGTTAAACTCATTATAAAGAGATCTAGCTATTTTGAAAACTTGCATATTTTTGTGACCTTTTGAGTTGGCCTGATAAATGTATAAGCCTGAGAGATTCTAATAAAAACGGGATGTGTAACAGTACGGCTGAAGGAACTGAAGCAACGATTGGGTTTCATTTGTCAATTGATATTAATACTCAAAGCTTGAATGAAGTCAGGGGAATAAGTCATTTCTCACATAGAATAATATACTGATGCACATCCAAATTTGCCTTTTTCCTCTGTGCCCATAAGTGAAGAACACAAGAGATCTATCTTTTCTGAAGGTCTTTCTGATGTTAACTGCTGCGGATAAATGCTACTTATGAATAGCTCAAAGAGAATGCTGTAGGTCAAACCGGACTGATCTGCTGAACATATTATCTTACAATGTTAGTGTGTGCCAATTTGTGGAATTGTTGATCAAGGTTAAAGAAACCATACCAGAGGTATCTGTGTTTTGTGTGGGACTCTTATTTCTGATGCAACTTGCAGTATGCAGCCTGGAATATGTTTCAAAGACATATTCCTATTACACCTCACTGGCTTTTTAAAAAAATATAAGATGCTGGGACTGGCACTAAGGAAACCCAGATTCTATTTCACCCTTATCCATGAAGGTTCACTGTCTGACATGGTTAGTGTTGTGGGGAAAAATAGGATGAAGGAGCACTATGTATGCTACTTTAAGCTCCTGAACAAATAAATTGATTATTGTAAAACCCTGGTGACTCTAAAATGGGGGACTGGGTGTCAGTTCACCTAAAGGCTCCCCAAACTATCTGCTGCTGTCTCCTGTCAATTGACAAATGGATAGACTGTAGCAAGTGAAATGTTGAAGGGTCACAGGAAGCGTGGTGGTGTAATGGGCTGTGAGAATAACCTTGGGAGACAGGAAGAAGAGCCGCTGCCTAGACAATGGTCCTACCTCCTGTCTCCCAAGGTTATCCTCACAGCCCATTACAGGTGATGCGGCTTTTCTGCATCCAGTCACTTTTACTTTCTATTTTAAAGGGATGCACCCCTTCTAAAAAAACTAGTTTATTATGCCAATGTTGTACTGTACTTTTACCCGATTGTTGAAATTTTGTACTCATTGAAGACAGAAATACTGCATCTGTCTATTAGTGGCACTAATATCTAAATAAGTATGTACACAATCACCACAAGGTTTCCTATACTTAGTTATCAAGAAGTAAGCTCTACTACATTAGCCTTGCTTCTGAGTACCTATGTAGATTAGCACTGTAAAGCATCTTATAACACCGCCCCCCACCCAATTAATTTTACAAAATCCACACTCATAGCACATTTAGTCAAGCTGTACTTGGAAGAGTAAATAATGGTGGCAATGTGAATCAATCTTCAATCTGAAATTAGAGCAATAAAGTATTTATGTTCAAAAAAATAAGTTGACATAACCTCAGCTCCCTTGCCTCTGAGTGTAGGAAGTTACCCATTCATTACATTATGATAGAACCACTGATTCATCAGATGTTTTCAGCAAATTTTCTCAGCACAGATGTTCTCACAAAAAAAAGAGCTAACCAGTAATGTGCAGTTAGTTGTAATGTAAAACAATATTTTAATTCTTCTAATAGATTCACCAAGAATAAGCAATGAGTAGATCCAGTCTTTCCCCCAAAGAAGTACAGGAAGCAGAAATGAAAACTGAGTAGTCATTTACTCTCCCCACATGTCTATATCCAGAAGTGCTAGAGTCAAACTCCCATAATTTGCAGCTGGAAATTGTGATCATTGTAGTCCAAAATATCTGGAATGCAGCTGGGTAAAGGAGACTATTATAGGTTACCAAAGGCAGATCAAATCTTGTTTTCTCATATTTGTACCCTGAACCCTTTTGTCACCGTGTGTCTTGGAAGATGTATCCTTTTCCAGGAGAAACTGCAACTTTAAGAGCCTCTTCCCAACTCTTGGTATCATAGAAAGTTGATAAGGCATCAAACACTAAAAGAAATGCATTGGATAATTACAAAAATTACATGAAATTACAATGAGGGTAGGATCCAATCATGGCATAACAGGGCTTCTGTAGAGCAACAGCCATCTTCTGTGTTTTTAGACTCTCATTTTCCAACAGTGATTTAAATAGTTAATATGGAGCAAGCAAAATCTGTGGTCTTTAATGCACCATGACTCTTTACATTCAAGGCTCTCCTACTTGCCCAAGGTAGAACCCCACTGATTAATGCCCATTTGCCCACATTTCATAGGACAGCTCCCTTATGTTAGTACTGTATCTAATTAAGCTATATGTTGCCCAAAGCCTAAAGAGGAGCAACCTCTTGAACAATTCATATCATGCGGTGTGACATTCTGTTCCCTAAAAAGTACAATAAGCAAAAGTAAAGGTCAATTCAGTAGACCACTGTCTGAATCCAAAACTCCAATGTGCACAAATCAACCGTGCAAAAATTGTCAGAAAGGTGTGATTTAAAACAATGGACCAAGACCATCCATGCAAGTTAACAGGGGTTAATTTGCAACAGCTAATAGCAGCTATAGGTTATATGGGAAAGCTGATGGCAATACAATGCCTGCAAATAGGTGACAATGAGCTTTATCAACCAGCATGAACTACTCACCTTGGTTTATTGCTAAGGTGGTTGAGTGATAATTTTTTGCATTGACATTCTTTACCATGTACTCTTGAATAGGCAATCGTGCTGTCCGCAGATGTCTTTCCTGGGCAATTTGGAAAGTGAGTTTCTACAAAAACAAATTATATACATTAAAAGGAGGAGGGGAGAAACCCAAATGATTCTTTGGGCCCATTTTTCAGAAGAACTACATCTGACTATTAGAATCGAAACACAGCATATGATGTCTATCCTCCAAACACAGAAGCTCCATTTTAATTATGTTAGCTAATTGTTCACAGGAAAATTATATTTGGAAGGGGGTAAGTTCCTGCAGTTCACCACTAGAATACTACCCAACTATTTCTGTAAGAATATCATTATAATACATGCAGTGTACCTACTTTTTGAATGCTTTCATCCACCAGCCCTCCCAGAATATGTACTTTTTGTGGATCAACTTCCTCAAGAACTAAAATGAGAAGAACACGAATAAACATCTAGTGATAAAGACAGATTGCATTATATCATCATCATCGTCATCAGACCCTTGTTATGTTTTGCCTCTCCACCTCACTTCACCTCACTTCACCTCACCTCTAGAAGGAACCAATAACAAAGGCAAAGAAATACAGAGAATGTAAAAACTGGCAGTAAAATATACCACTACT